GCAGGGTGCTGTGCAGGGTGCTGTGGAGGGTGCTGTGCAGGGTGCTGTGCAGGGGGTGCTGTGCAGGGTGCTGGGGTGCTGTGCAGGGTGTTGTCCAGACTGCGGTGGCGAAGTCTGGCAAAGGTGCTGTGCAGGGGGCTGTGCAGGGGGCTGTGCAGGGTGCTGTGCAGGGTGCTGTCCACGGTGGCGAAGTCTGGCGAAGGTGCTGTGCAGGGTGCTGTGCAGGGTGCTGTGCAGGGTGCTGTGCAGGGTGCTGTGCAGGGTGCTGTGCAGGGTGTTGTCCAGAGTGCGGTGGCCAAGTCTGGCAAAGGTGCTGTGCAGGGTGCTGTGCAGCTGTGCAGGCTGTTGTCCAGACTGCGGTGGCGAAGTCGGCAAAGGTGCTGTGCAGGGTGCTGTGCAGGGTGCTCTGCAGGGTGTTGTCCAGAGTCCGGTGGTGAAGTCTGGCAAAGGTGCTGTGCAGGGTGCTGTGCAGGGTGCTCTGCTTGGTGTTGTCCAGAGTGCGGTGGCGAAGTCTGGCAAAGGTGCTGTGCAGGGTGCTGTGCAGGGTGCTGTATTAGTGCGGTGGCAAGTCTGGCAAAGGTGCTGTGCAGGGGGGTGCTGTCCAGACTGCGGTGGCGAAGTCTGGCCAAAGGTGCTGTGCAGGGTGCTGTGCAGGGTGCTGTGCAGGGTGCTGTGCAAGGGGGCTGTGCAGGGTGCTGTGCAGGGGGCTGTGCAGGGTGCTGTGCATGGTGTTGTCCAGACTGCGGTGGCGAAGTCTGGCAAAGGTGCTGTGCAGGGTGCTGTGCAAGGTGCTGTGCAGGGTGCTGTGCAGGGTGCTGTCCAGACTGCAGTGGCGAAGTCTGGCAAAGGTGCTGTGCAGGGTGCTGTGCAGGGTGCTGTGCAGGGTGCTGTGCAGGGTGCTGTGCAGGCCGGGTGCTGTGCAGGGTGCTGTCCAGACTGCGGTGGCGAAGTCTGGCAAAGGTGCTGTGCAGGGTGCTGTGCAGGGTGCTATCCAGACTGCGTTGGCGAAGTCTCGCAAAGGTGCTGTGCAGGGTGCTGTGAAGGGTGCTGTGAGAGGTGCTGTGCAGGGTGCTGTGCAGGGTGCTGTGCAGCGTGCTGCGCTTTGGTTCCCACGTTGGCAACCATCAGTTCCAACCTTTAGGAACTGGAAGTTCTTTGCAATGGTAACCTATGGTTCCCAGGTTGGGAAGCATGAATTCCAACCTCTGGTAACCGGCAGTTGCTTGCAATGGTAACCCCTGGTTGCCAGGTTGGGAACCATGACTTCTAACCTGTGGGAACCGGCAGTTCCTTGCAATGGTAACCTTTGGTTCCCACGTTGGCAACCGTGAGTTCCAACCTTTGGGAACTGGCAGTTCCTTGCCATGAACCAAACGCAAACATTCCGGTACCGGTCCATTAAGCAAAACAAAGCGTTCTGTACCGGTCCATTAAGCAAAACCATAAAATTGTAAAGAAACTGTTTTCATATCATTTTAACATGCACCTTTTTGGTGCAAAAACATTTTCATGCCGGCCCAACAGCCAAATGCGAACATTCCGCTACCGGTCCATTAAGCAAAACAAAAGGTTCTGTTAACAAAACAAAACAACATTAAGAACCATGAGTTCTAACTTTTTGGAATCAACAGATCCTTCCACTGGTAACGTATGCTTTTTCAGGTTTGGAACCATGAGGTTCAAGCTTTCGCAACCGGCAATTCCTTACAATGAAAGCCGCTTAGCTTCGAAAACATAAATTCTAACTTCGGGGAACCGGCAATTCCTTGCAATGGTAACCTCTGGTTCCCAGGTTGGGAACCGTAAGTTTCAAGGTCTGGGAACCGGCAGTTCCTTGCCATGGTAACCTTTGGTTCCCACGTTGGGAACCATCAGTTCCAACCTTTAGGAAACGGAAGTTCTTTGCAATGGTAACCTATGGTTCCCAGGTTGGGAAGCATGAGTTCCAACCTCTGGTAACCGGCAGTTGCTTGCAATGGTAACCTGTGGTTCCCACGTTGGCAACCGTGAGTTCCAACCTTTGGAAACCGGCAGTTCCTGGCCATGAACCAAACGCAAACATTCCGGTACCGGTCCATTAAGCAAAACAAAGCGTTCTGTACCGGTCCATTAAGCAAAACCATAAAGTTGTAAAGCAACTGTTTTCATATCATTTTGACATGCACCTTTTTGGTGCAAAAACATTTTCATGCCGGCCCAACAGCCAAATGCAAACATTCCGCTACCGGTCCATTAAGCAAAACAAAAGGTTCTGTTGCCGGCTCAGTAAACAAAACAACATTAAGAACCATGAGTTCTAACTTTTTGCAATCAACAGATCTTTCCACTGGTAACGTTACTTTTTCAGGCTTGGAACCATGAGTTTCAAGCTTTGGGAACCTGCAGTTCCGTACAATGAAAGCCGCTTAGCTTCGAAAACATAAATTCTAACTTCTGGGAACCGGCAATTCCTTGCAATGGTAACCTCTGGTTCCCAGGTTGAGAACCGCAAGTTTCAAGGTCTGGGAACCGGCAGTTCCTTGCCATGGTAAC